GACGCAGAGCAGCCCGAGATTCCCCACGGAAAGTAGCACTTGGGGCTGGGTTCTCACTGCCTTTGCTATGTCCTCAGCCTGAACTTTGCCATGGAAATCATTCAGCTTCACCACCAGTGGGGAGGACAGCCACAGGGCCGCTCACCTATGTACACCACTGAGGTAGAAAGGATGCTTATGGGCTCTGGCACTGTACCCACGTGGCTGCTGAGGCTTTTTGGCCATTTTCCTGGAGTCAATGACTAAATAAGTCCCTCTCTTGATTTTAAATTGGAGATAAACGCTGAGCGTCTCACTGGCAAGCGCATTAAGGCCGCTGGAAGTACAAAGATAATACAGGGTATTTCGGGCCTTTGTTCTCTCCTTTTCACCCACAGCCTGCTAAGCAAGCAAAGAACACAATGAGCAAATCAGTGTTTTGCTGGTACCATCACAGGCTTCAGCCCCTAAATCCTGCTGGCCCACAGCTAGGAAGGGAAGAACGAAAATACAGTGAAGAGTACACATTGCGCACCTGTCTGTTACAAGGGAAAAACAAACTTCACCCATAGACAGACTGAGCCACAGGTGCTGCCACAATCTCCCCAGAGTCAGCCCAGAGCCAACACAGAGCTCGGTCTGAGGATGGGGAGCCAGGACACAGCCCACAGCTCAGGAAGGCAGCAACGCCTCACATTTACCTTCGTGCTATTAAAAGTCTTTAAGTTACATGGTCTGCTCTTGTTACTCTCTCTCTCCACAGCAAATACTTTGATTACAGAGACACCAGCTACAGGTGTGCAACTCAGGAGACACCACGTGATATTTCTGCTCAAAGTCTTCGCATGGACAAAAAGCACTGGAAAAAGCAACAAGTCTTTGAAGTTATAACAGCTGCAACACGAGGGGGGAAAAACAGTCATTAGATGAGGTCACAGAACATGCCAGAAGAGAAGTGGCAATGCCTAAACATTAGATTATCCGTCATACTGGTTATCTGCAGATTTTTGTGCCAATGAAGCAATCAAGACACAGACCTTGCAGCAATCCTGCAATAGACATCATCCAAGAGCACAAGCATTTTCTTTTTGTGAGAAACCAATTTATTTATGCAAAAAGCTGCCTGCCCAGCTCAGTACACAGCTCCAGTCAGGTGCATCTGTCAGAGCTGCGCACCCACCACTGCTGTACTTCCTTCCTCATAGGGATGCAGCAGCACGCAGCTGCAGGGAGGGTGGGGGCATTATCCAAGCACTTCCTTTAAAATTCAGAAGCAAGCCATAACAAATCATTCCAGCACAGGAACACATGTCCGCACATCAAGCTGGCTCATAACACAAAGCACAAACATCCAGCTCACGTTAGGCTCGGAGCTTCAGTGCTGTGAGGCAAGGCCACGCAAACAGCCTCCATTTGTGGCTGTACAGCTGCAGAAAGGAGCGACTTCTTCCCCTCAAAGCAAAACACACGCCGTCAAAAAGCATGCACCTTCTCAAAAAGTCCCAATTACCCAGCCGCAACTAAATGCTGTAATTTGTTGACCAGCTCCTCACAAACTTTAGTAGTGACCTCAAACCCTTGGATTAAACTGCAAAATAATTTCCCCTTTTTGAAAGTCATTTTGTGATTCTTTGATTCCCACCCATCAGCAGCTGCAGGGCACAGCAGCAGGCTGCTACACGTCCCAGTGCAGCAGCTAGAACCAGGCTGAGGCCACAGGCAGCAGCTGGGGGAACTGCTTAGCCCGAGCTTTCCAGCTACCAAAACCATCCTGCTGTTCCTAACAGCCCTGCAGGAAGGGATGGGGACTGGCAAGGGAAGCTCTGCGGAGAGGAAAACACGGCCACAAGATGTGTGACATCCTGGACACACCTGACCTGCACCCAGCTCCATGGGGCAGGGTGCTGGCCCACATGAACACACAGCTCAGCATCACCCAGCAATGCTGACAGCAGGGAAGGAACCACAGGACCCCACAGTCTGATCTGTGGGCTGTGCACAGGTTCACCACCCTGACATTGCATGGCACATCGGGGACACCTTCTGAGATGCTCTCCTTGTCTGAGAGAAATGAAACAGACAGCTGTGCCACTCAAGTGACTCTGAAATAAGTTAAAAGCACCATCATTTGGAAACGTAATCAGCTCCGCTAGGAGACTATTTGTTACTGTTTCCTCATTTCCCTTTTAAGTGTATTCAGATCAAGCCCTACCTTTTCCCAGATGATTTTTACGATTTCTGACATCTGTTTAAAATAATTTTAAACATCTGTTCAGTGCTGTTTCTCTGTGACCATAATAAAATGGATCCTGATGGTCAGTGAGAACTGTCAGACCCAGGAAAGCACCTGGGAAAGGCGGAGAAACAGCCCCTTTGGCTCCACTGCTTTCAGCCACTGAGGACAACAAGCGAACACCGGGGGGACACAGAACAAGGTTCTGCAGCTAACAGTGGCCTCGCTGCATGCCTCAACCATCTACCCAGGCTCCATTGCCCCCACCACACTCATAAGGGTAACCTACTATTGTGATGTTTCCTACACGAGAGCCAAAGACACTGAGGTACATATACAGCTCAGCAGCAGCGAGGTGCATGTAGCCTCTGGCAAGCTCCAGCCAGTGGGACTGTGTGATGTTTTAACCTTTCAGCAGAGTGCTAACAGGAGCACTTGTCAGTGCACTTGCTGTCCACAGCCATCAGTGGAAACCCTGAGGATTAAAGGCACGTTCAGCAGGACATCCTGGCTCTCTCCTGAAAAGCCTGCAAACAATAAACGCGCAAATGGCTCTCGGGAAACAGAGCACCCCGTGTGAGGGCAAGCAATGGAAGACAGGCCATGCCTGAGCTGCCAGCAGCGGGCAGGGAGCTCCAGGGGCAAGGTAGAACCCAGGCTGCTGGAGGAGCAGCCACAGCACTTGGGAGAATGATAGTAAAGGGAGAGGAGACTCGTGATGAAGAACATCAGAGCAGTAACTCCGAGAATGCAAAAAATAGACACTTTGAGTGCTTTAAAGCAATTTGCATGCTTGATGTGATCAACACTCACTGCAAAAGTGGTGAAAAAAAACAGGTCAAAAAAGTTTTAAGTTTTGGAATACTTCGTGCAGTATTTTCCTGTGACAGCAGAAACATTTAGAACTTGTACAACTGCACAGACACATCATCGTTACAGCATTTTAACATTTGTGTCAAATAGGTTCAGATTGCTTTCAATTTAACATTCAGCCTTTCAAAAGGACTAGTGAAGGCAGACCCGAAGGAAATTCACGCAGAAATGAACAATGGCAGAGATGCGTTTTGGGTGGTTTAAGGGTTTCTCATAGCACAACAGATGAGCTAGCAGTTGTGCCCACTCGGAAACAAGTAACCTACATGCCCACAGTAAAACATGCAACAATCTGGAATTGAGCTCTCCCACCTGTACAGACAGCAGTGACCATCTCTTTAGAGATTTAAGCACAGTAGTACTTCAGCACCTACCAGCAGCAATAGAGAAGCAATAAGGGAAGTCTACTTTGTCTGCCCTCAAGCCTGGGTTTGGTTTCTCAGCCGCCTGAAGGCTCTGCATTCTACCGGATGCTACAGATAACATGTAGCAAGGAAGGCAGGGAGGAAACAGGGTACCTAGAGAAATGTGCTTAAGCTTCCCATGTGAGGATCTACAGTCTCCTCCTACACACACCTCTCAGACCCACCAATGCCCTGGTCACACAGCAGCATGCACTGCAGAATCACAGCCAGAGGCGGGGGGAATGGCTGGTTTCAGCTGGCCTTCCCCAGGCATCACAGACTCGCCTATAGCATCTGCACACAGCACAGCCCAGGTCACAGCCACAGAAGCACCCTACATATGGCAACTCTGTGGCAGGGAGCTGCCAACACAGGCGGCTGCGGTTGCCTACATCTGAGCCAAAGGAAATCGCTTCCTGAACTGCCTCAAGCTATCGCTGCACAGCTCACCCTGCGTTCCAGAGCAGGAAGAAGAGCAGAAACAACTCCAGCGAGTCCAAGTGCAGGCAGAGATTGTTACACAGAGCCTCCCAGCACACCTCTCCTCAGCCCAGCTCCACCTGTAAGTACATGGGCAGCTGCTGCCACTTCACCTCCAACAGCTGCAGCAACTCAGGCAGATTCAGTATGGCACATGAGCTCCGAGCGTGCAGCAAGGCAGACTGAGCACCCAGCCCTGCTGTGAGGGACTACAGAACAGCCTGGAGCATCTCCTACTGCTTTGCTTCCAGGGAAATGAAAGAGGACCTAGTGAAGAAACTGAGAAAAAAACACACGGGACCCAATAAGAAGCACTCCAACAGAGCAGTTCGTTCCTCTGGCAGGTGACCAGAGATGGGCTACCCACCAAGAAAACCCGTCTGCCTGTTGCACGGCCGGGCCAGGAGCCCGCAGGTAGACAGCACAGCCGAGGTGCGGGTGCCGCGCCGGGAGCCCACAGACACTGCTTCGCACAACGCAGCGATGCGCTGCGGACAGAGCCGGGTCAGACGGCGCTGCTTTCTCTCCAAGAGCTGCTTCGCCCTTTTTTCCTCTCGCAGCAGCCCCGGGCCGGGCAGTGCCGCTGAGAGCGGCCGCGGGGCTCGGCTCGGCACGGCTCGGTTACCGGCGGGCACCGCGTTACGCACGGCACGGCGAGCAGCAGCCAGCCGAGAACGCGGATAAAGCGGTGCGCACGAACCGAAACACCCACCGACAGCACGCATTAAAAGCTCTTCGCTTTAAGAGACGAGAAACAACTCAGCACCGCTCACAGCCGCCCGCCCACCGCCATTTACCCGACCCGAGCTGCAGCTCCCTCACGGCCCTGACAGGCACGGCTCGGGTCGGCAGCCCGGCGCCGGGCGGGCAGAGCCGCGGGCCGCCCAGAGCCGCCGACCCCTCAGGCGGGCAGCGGCCGAGAGCCGCCCCCCGCGGCCGGGGACGCCCCGGATGAGGCCGTCGCTCTCCCACCCGCTGCCGGCCCTTCCCGGCGGCCGGGGCCCGCCGCTCCCCTCCCGCCCGGCACCCACCTGGTCGGCGAGCTTGAGCACGGCCATCCTCCTCCTCCGCCGCCGCTCCTCCCGCGCACATGCAGCTCCAGCGACGGGCGGCGCGCGCGCCCCGCGACCGACGCCGCTTCTGCTGCTGAAGCTGCAGCTCCGCGCCGGCGGGGCGGGGCCGCGAAGGCCGCCTCGCCTCGCCCGGCGCGGCCCAGCCCAGGAAGA